CCACCGGGGGGTAGACTGAGGCCCCTGGGCGCAGGCGGCAGCCATGGCCCGGGAGCTGCTGGGCGGCGCGGGGCTGCACTTCGACGAGCTCAACAAGCTGCGGGTGCTGGAGCCGGGCGTGGCGCAGCAGACGGCGGAGCTGCGGGAGGAGTGCAAGGCCTTCGTGGACAGTGAGTGCCCCCCCGGATGGGGCCCCCCACGTGTGCTGAGTCAGCAGGGCCGGGCTGACCCATGTTCCCCAGGGCAGGGGGTCACTCCGAGCCTGGCCCCTCGGGGGAAGGGGGTACGGGCACCGACCAGTTGCGCGCGCGGGTTTCCCGCGCTCGATGCAGTACGCGCGTGGCTGGAAAACGTCTGAGACTCGAATTCGTGCCGCACACACGTGTCTCACAAGCACCGACGAGTTTCCCTCGATGCGGTACACGCGTTGCTGGAAAGCGGTGCGTAACTCAAATTCGTGCCGTGTACACGTGCCTTACAAGCAAAAACAAGTTGCACGTGTAGGTTTCCCTCGCTCGATGCGGTAGGCAAGTTCCTGGAAAACGTCTGTAACTCGAATTCGTGCCTCACAAGCACTGAGTTTAGGTTTCCCTCACTTGATGCGGGACGCGCGTTCCTGGAAAGCGGCGCGCGACTCGAATTCGCATCAAGGGGACCCACTTTACGATGTAACAAGCATGGATACGTTCCAGGGCCTCGACTGTAGTGACGTGGCGCTCCCGGGGCAGTGGCTTCATGGCTCGCGGCTCCCGGGGAGCCGCCGGCCACCTCAGCCCCCGCAAATAATTTCTTCTTCCTCTGCCTATGCTGTCACTCCCACAATGCACTGCACAAAGCAGGGGGCTGTGGGCTTCCGCTGCACCAATCACATAAGAGTGAATTTACCTTGCATATAATGAATTTTTGGGATAAAAAGGGTCGTTGCCTAAGAGCAAATTTGCACATACACAACCCGCATAAAGCGAGGGAAACCCGGAAAAGAAACGTGATCCAATCCTGAGCTTCTCATCGCCAAGCTCCCGTCCAGCATAGATATAAGAGGTCGATGTCAACTTCCCCTCTCCCCCCCCAGCAATATTTGACCTATTATTTATGGAGATGTTTTCTGAAGTGAATTCATTAGTGTAGGCAATGGCTTGGCTGCAGATAGCATTGCTTTCTGTTTGCTACCGCAGCCGTGTGAATGGCATGCATACACCTGTGTAAGGCGACTTCTCCTTGCAAATCCTGACTGCTCAATTGCTTTCGGTTAAAGACTAAATCAAGGCAAAGTTCCCATGAAGTATTATTTATTGTGACATTTCCAGCTCACAGCACATACAGCAAATGCATCTGGTCTCACGCAAGGAAAAGGAATGGTTTTTTGTAGGTGGAAGCCCAGCTTTGTCTTTTGAAAGGATTATTTTCCCGCGGGGCTTTATTGTGATATTGTATGTTAGGACACTTCACTTGCTAAAGAAGCCAACAAAGGGCTTTATTTAAATCCAGAGATAAAACAAGTCAGAAGACAGAAGCACGCATCATAGTAGAAGAAATAGCACCCGGTTTGAGTAACAAGAAAAACCACAGAACAGTCCTGTTCCTGATGCAATCTGTGTGCGCGTTGTTTCTGTCAAGCACAAAGTAATCCCAGTTTAAAAAACAAAGCACTCAAAGTCTATCAGACTACAACACTGGTATCACGTTGATGGATGCATTTGGTATAACAGCAATTTCTCTCTTTTTTTTTTCCCCTCCCCAGAAATTGCAGAGTTTCAAAAAATAGTGGGTAGCTTAATTGAACTTGTTGATCAACTAGCAAAAGCAGCTGAAAGCGAGAAGATGAAGGTACTGTGCAATTATCATCTAATGCTATCCTCTGCCTCTGCAAGTAAACACTGCCCCCCCCTTATTTCACATTCAAAGCAATCTGTAGCAATCCATCTGAAATAGACAGTTGCAGATGGTGGTGCGTGCAGGATCTCTGCAGTGACAGCCAGGTCTCCCCTTATCAAGGTGTATAAAGAACCATTGACAGATTCTGACAAGCACGCTCATTATAGTGTCACATCGCTCTTGTATTTGCATTATCCCAGCCCTACTGGTTGTTGGCACGTGTGCAGGTAAACATGCTTTCTAATCAGTTTCTTTCTTCCGCTAATTTGTTCCAAAGGACCCGAATTTTGTACGTGCGGCATCATTCAGAAAGTGTCACCAGGGAGAGCATCGTCATTGAAGGGAGTTGGCAGAAGGAAGAGGTTGATTAGAGAAAAAAGCATTTACATACACACTAATGATAGCTCCTTTTGTGAACTCCATTGTTGATGCATACGTAGACAGACACATCACCCATCTGTACATTTTATAGGTTAATTTAGAAATATTTAGTATGATAAGCAAATGTATTGTCATCTTGATTTTGGGGGGGCGCAAATCGGAATTAGCGGTCACCTCTCTGCTTACCTGTCCTTCCCTTGTACCAGTGATCAATGATCCTGTAATATTTCTAGACAAGGCTTTGCCACTCTGCCCTCTCTGTGGCTTGGCCAAATTACCAGTAATGGTAGAGTTAGCTTCCCCTGACAGGAAAGCGGTGTTATTACCTAACTTGGTAGGATGCCACTACCAGTTCACTAATGTCTGTGCAAAACTAGCAAGCCTCTGATCCACAGAAATGCACATTGTGCATGACATTTCACAGCTACAAAGATGATAGATTTGTAGGGACTCTGTCTGTACCACAAACTCTCTTAGCATCTATCCTGCTTTGCCATATACTATGTGTGGGTCAGTTATCGTGGCAAATCTTAGGTTTGAAGAGGAAATCCTATGAAGATGTTACTCTTCTCAGTGCCCAAGTGTTTTAAAAGGACCTGAAAATTGTCCAGCTGGAAATGACAGTAGCAAAACATTAATGATAAAATTCCTTTGCTAAAAAGCAATCTTGTTTCTATAGGCAATTGGTGCCCGAAATTTGCTAAAGTCTATAGCTAAGCAAAGGGAAGCACAGCAACAGCAGCTTCAGGCTTTAATAACTGAGAAGAAAATGCAATTGGAAAGGTAAGTTTGTGCGTACATGAAGCCAAGATTGAGAGCTCTCTCTGGAAGTCTGATTTGATCTTTTGAAAGATAATACTGTAACAAACATGATTTATTCAGTTTGTGAATTCTGCTGTGATTGTGCAAGTTAAATGCTTAATCTTAATATGTGCACGCCTGTCTACAAGGGAGCATTGTCCAGGGCTTTGGATTTTAGTTCAGTCCCTCTTCAGCAGTTTGGCCAGTGGCTAAAACGAAGCCAGGTCTTGCATTCCTGATAAACTGGTGGCCAGCTGAGGGCAGGCTAGGAAAACTGTCCTTCAGTGTTTGGTTTGCTCACTTTTTTTTAAAGGTAGTTCAGCATTGATCTTCTCAGTGGTGCAAGGCCTAAGTCATTTAGATAGCTAAATTCTATTTTCAAAGTGACGTAGGAGCCTAAAGCATACTGATTTCCCTCTACCCCAAAAGGCTTAAGTCACTCTTGGAAATGGAACTTAGTCGCTTAAATCACGGGGGGGGACTAAAAACAACATTTTAACCTCTCTCTCTTTCAGATATCGAGTAGAGTACGAGACCCTATGTAAAATAGAAGCTGACCAGAATGAATTCATCGACCAGTTCATTTTTCAGAAATAAAGGATTTGGAGACCAAACAGCAACGACCTTGGAAAACTTTACCATTCCAGTATACTAATAATTCTAAAAATATGCAGTTTTGCATTGTGTATGAATGAGCAAAATGGTTTGTACAAAGGAAAAAGCTTTTTCTAAATCTATATGAACTCAAACAAAATGGCAATAAGAAAGGTTTTTCCCCAGATGTAAAGAAGACCACTTCTAGCCTTTCACTACTTTTTCAAAAGTTTGGTATGGTCAGTAGTTTGAATTCAAATAAATACTGCTGCTGCTACGTGACTCCCTTACCTTTTGAAATGTACGGTACTTTCAGATAAATCGGAAAAATAAATTATTGTTTTTAGACATTGCTTTCTTTGTTTTTATATTGCCTCTGGATGTCAGAATCAGCTGCTACAGTTCATCTAATTTGTAGATTTGGAATTTTAAAACATCGTCTTCCTTAGACTTATTTAACTAGCTCACTGGATTGCCACATCTAACAATTTCCTGGGGGCTATAGTAAAAAAGGCTTCAATTCTTAACTTGTGTGAAGCGATCAGAAGAGAATCAATTACCACCTATGGTTTTTGGGGGTTTTTTGTTTTGGGTTTTTTGGGGGGGGGGGCGGGGAAGAGCAGTTCGTGAATAACAGCTCTCTCAAACACCAAACCAGAACTGAGAATTGGTGTTAACTATAAATGGGTTCTGCTGAAATTTTCAAACCTGGATGTTTAAAGGTAATTCCAAGAGTGTATTTAGATCCTAAATAGAAATAGGCTGACTTCCAAAACTGCTGACTACCCACAAATCTCATGTAGATTAGCAGAAGTTACAGGCATCTGAAATAAAACAGTTTAAATGATTACACGTGTATCTTTGTGCATCATTTTAGTGAGAGACAGAGGTAGCCAGCTGTGCAACTGTGTGTCTACTCTGCCTTCTGCCTAACTTTAAGCAACCAGGTATGGGAAATGGTCTTCAGTTTAAACCACCACTACACAGAAGACTGTATACAAACACACTTGCAATGACTGAACAGTCTTCTCACTATATGCATTTAACATTTTCCTTTAGAGATTTAGAACTAGGTCACAAGAGACCGAATGCTGTTTGCTGCAGCTTCAAAGTCTAAATCACAGCATTACTTCAAATGCCACCTCCCAGAAGCCTCCCTGTTACTTCAGGTCATTCCCCTGAGATGCCCAATGGGATGCTAAATCAGCGACTTCTATGTATTTCCATGCCTGAAACAGCAAATAATCCCACTTCAGGGATTTCACAGAAAGACTTGCGCGGTAGACAGACTTGTTAGGTGGGCACTCTTCCCGCTGAATTAAAAAGGCTAAAAACCAGACAACTATGGTTGTTTCAATCTACTCTCTTTATTTCTTTTTCTTTTTCTCCACCTGGTTGTATTGGGGGCTGTATAGCATGGTAAACAGAACCAGGAGTGGGATCAGCAAATAGGGGATGTATACAGACACGAGGGTGAGGCGCTCCTGCTGGGTCTGAGGACCCTGCTTTGATTCTGAGAAGTCGTGAAAGAGGATGTGGGCAAGGCAAGGCAACAGAGTTGTAGCTACATGAGTGGAGTAGATAATTGCAGGCGTCCGTATCCATTTACACCCACCTGTATTAGAGACAGAAGTGATGCATATTAATATTTTTTTTTTTTTTCAAACAAAGGGCAGTAAGTCAATAACTTTTCAACAAACAAATCTGTAATCCAGAACAGCATGAATCCCAGTTGCAATGAATACCAGATCTAGTGAAAAACTGAATCTTGAGGTTTTTTAAAGTAGAAGACTAACACCGCAAACCCTACCAATACCTGCCTCAGTGAGTGGTTAGAAAGAATGCACAAAGGAGTCCTGAGATTTCATGAAAGCATCAGAGCAAGCGGATTAACCATTTCCCAATATCGACACGTACACACTTGACTTTAGAGCTCACTCGCACTCTCTACGCACTAGGCTAAGCAACCATGAGAAACCCTGCGCTGATGGCGTGTATCCTCTTTATCCCCAATTTACAGGTGAAGAAAATTAATTCGTTAACTTGAAAAGTTACCCGAGCTGTCTATGACCATCTGTTCTCTCCCCACCGACCATTACATAGAAATCTAGGATTTCCACTGATAATAAAGAGCTTTGAAATGAAAATGAGATCTATTGTCCCATGCTGGAAAAGCAAAAGGGAGGTACATATCTCTTTGCATATTAAGTCAATTTGTTTCCTAGTCTGCACTGCGTAGTTAGGAAATCTTTTATTGAAGTAGGACCCCACAATACATATTTATAATGGCTCAAGTCAAAGCCTCTCTGTACCATATAGTCACATTTTAAAAAGAAAACGGTATGCAAAATATTGTTCTTCCATTCCTTGTATACCAACCTTTGAAGAACGCATATGCTGCAAAGGGAAAGAAAGGCAACTGGAGGAAGGCTTCACAATAAACAAATGTCCTAAACCATTCAGGAGACTCCAGCATCATGGCATCTTTAAAGCTTTCCATATACCATTTTAACATCTCCGTCAGCTTAAAGCAAACACAAACAGCACATTAAAACTTTTATAGTTAACACTTTCAGCAACACAGTTTCATCTTTGTATATAAATCTTCACTTGTTCAACTGCCAGTATTAACAGGTGTTAAGTTCCTAAACATGGTGAATGCACTCCTTTAAAATGCACAGTGAATTCAGCAGCACTTTTTCTGTTTGTGAGATTATCAAGACCACCTTAAGTACAGCCTCTCCAAAGTAAACAGCCACAGACTGCTCCTGATCTGTCGTCTTTCACCTATGGAACAAGGCAGGTTTAGCAGATAGAGAAAGGATGTTTTTATTCCTGACCTTGCTCTATATGGCCAAAGTGGATCAGAAATGCACCAGTATTTAGGCATTTTTAGATACAGATAGCTTCACAAGACTTAGCAGGTGCCATGAAGTCAATAAGAGTTTGGTGTCTAACTCCATTAGACACCAAATTCCTCTTGCAAATTCCTTTAGGCCTCTAACTGTAGCGTCAGGTGCCAAAGTACACGTCATATCTGACCAGTGATGTTTTGCACCATCAGCTAACTAGATAAATTGGTCTAAATGCCAGAAAAGTAAATTCAAACATGGCTTTGAGCTCAAAGTCCATTTAGATTTGCTAGCTATATATTAAATATGGACGTGATAATTGAGTAATCCTACTAGCTGGAAAGAAGGCCAAAATTAAGTCATTAAGTGTAAGCTACAACTCCTCACACCCACATAACAGAACAAGTCCAATAGATTATGCTAATGAAGTGAGGTCCATCTAAACTAACGATAGATTACTGATCATATGCATTGTACTCCATGCTACTGATCAAACCACTATAACAATGATTTTTTTTTTGGGGGGGGAGAATCAGCGATTCAGCCATAAACACAGCTTTAAATGTTTTTTCTACGTACCTTGAGGTACCAGGCATGGCTTTTTGTTTTTGTTGGGGGGGGGGGGGGGGGGGAAGGGTTCAAATCAAGAGAGACATATTATACTTTGGTTGTTCATACAAAATGTGACTGGCTCTAATATATAGCAGCCAGCTTTTTCTCCCCACGGCACACTTGCTGCAAGTTATTCAACAGAAATTAAAACTCATATTAAGCAAGCGACAGTTATGGTCTCCTGCTATATTGCTTCCCGTGTCTTTGACATACTATAATAGCCTTTTGACATACCATAATAGCCTTTTAAGACACTTAGTATAACATGTATAGAAATGATATTGTGTCACCCAGGTGGTTCAAGTACTTCCAGGATAGAACAACTTTTGGTAATAACTGACTATGCTATGAAAGTAGCAAAAGCAAGAGAAGTTTTGCAGGTGTTTCCGGTTTTAAACTGACGACATCCTTTCAAACGGCAGAAGAAATAAATGTACATAGATTTCTCCTTTTAATTAGTTTGTTATCCAGCCGATTAGTGTAAATGAATAAACCTAAAACCCAGTGGAGTGCACTCCATTCAAAAGCTTGTCTAAGTTTTTCCTAAGCATGCAGTTGGCCCACAATAAAAAGGCATCACCCACAAAACCCTTGCCCGTTTCATACATCCTGGACCATCGCGGCTACAACATTGCTCCAACACGGCTAATCCCAACGCCACCCTGCAGACTTAGTGCCACGTGAGCTCAGTGCTGTTACAGCATTCACTCGGTGAACAAACAGACAATGAAACATAATGGTATAGGGAACGGGAGATGACATTTGTCCTAAAGATGCCACAAGATCAGGTGGATTAAGCTAAAGTCTAGTCCAAGTTATTGTGGTTCAAACCCTGGCGCAGAATTAATTCTATTTCAAGTCCCTCCTATCTGTCCATCCCCATAGATCTTGCCCGGAGCAGCGCACACAGTCACTGCATTGAGAGGCCCTCGGCATCAGCTGCTTACCTTCTGCGGGTAGATGCTACTTGCAGGCAGAAGAATTTGCATGTCTATCAGTAAAGTGACGGGGATATGGCTGAGAAAATACAGGGCAAAAACCCATTCCAAGAAGCGAGTTGCAGCAGCCATGTCCTCCTTGCAACAGCAGTGGGAGGAGCAGCTGCCCTCCTGCAATATCCCATCTTCCTCCTCCTTGGATTGGCTGTACGGCAGGCTGGGTTGCCTCCACTTGGCTCACAATTTAAAGGGCCAGTCATCTTACCAATAGAAATATTTAGACTGCCGTACACATACTTTACTTTACTTGCACTTTGAGCTATTGTGCAAGAACCCAAAATACTTGATAAGGGGGAAAAACCCACTGTTTTGAGTTGGTATTAAAAGATCCCACTGGCTGTATGCACACCATCCTCCAGCAATGCAACACAGGTTTTAGTAGGTTGAAGAGCTAAGTTTAGAAAAATAATTTTACCTATAAGTTTTGGGTTAGAAGCAGAACTGGCAGTGGTTTTGAGAAGATGCTATTAAGTTTTAATATGCAGCTACTCATGATCACATTCTTATAATTCGTTAGTCCTCCTGGCTGAGTCTAAATCGCTAACAAGCCTTACACTTTCTGCTGTACCTCTGATGAACTTCTTTCTGCAGAAGGATTTATGTTTTTTGCAAAGATCTAGGGACCAGGAGCAGATGCTGGGTCTAAATCTTCTAGACTGCTTTAAATAACTTGGTTCTTGAAGTTGAATGAACAAATGTCAGCACTAGTACCAAGACACTTCCGAGGTTTTGCCAGTTTTGTTCTTTTCTTCACCATACACTTAAAAACTTATTAATAGATTTGAATAACATCACAGAGCACAAGTTATTTCACTTTTGAACGGGAAGTTACTATAGTAAAAGATCCAGGTACAGTAATATATATTTTTTATTTATTGTGCAGCAGTTGTACCATTCTTCCATTATCGAGATAACGAACAAAACTATTGAACAGAAATCTTACCTGGCTGGCACCAAGAGAGAAGGGAGAGCACTGACAGGAACTGTATTATATAAAATGATAAATCGAAGAATACACATTTCAATGATCTCAAGATATTTTATGACTCAAATAAAGCATAATATAAAACTGGGAAAACCACTGTGCAATGAACAGATGGTTTTGGTTTTACTGAATGTTCCAGTATCGCCAGCAGCTCAAATAGGATACGAGGATACATTTGGCACGTGCCTTTCTGATGTTATTTAACTGAAGTGTTTCCATTAGAAAGCCCTTCATTTTTAATGGGCCTTTACATTTTTAAAAACACCTTTTCTAAGCTAAAATGTAATGCTGGGCCATGTCCTCTGCTGGTGTTAAGCCTTTGGAACAACCATGCTGATTTATATCCACTGAGGATCTGGCTCCCAGGGACTGAAAACAGGTCCCCATTGAGGTCAAAGCCAGGATTTCATGCTCATAAGCATTTGATTTACAAGCAACTATCCAAACTGCAACTTGAAGACGGTACAGTCAACCATGGCTTGATTATTACACCTTTGCTGAAGCTCTGACTGTGTCCTTCCATGTGTGGAAACAGTGGCTTTTGTGGTGTGTGAGAATGAATGAACCAAAAAAATAAGTATAAGTCTTTCAGTTGCTTCTTCCTGCTGTTGGCAAAGACAGGGAATGTACCAGCCCACCTGGAAGAAAAGTATTTAAATAGGGGAGATGTACATGAGTCAAAATTCAAAACATTCACCTTAAGTCAAGTTGTCAATGTAAGCAAAGAAACTGTATTCACCACACCCAGCAAGCGAGGGAAAACATGCAACTTGGTTGTAGCGAAGGAATAGAAAATACGGAGTATAATGCGTTTTATACATCCGCAGATAACGGCACCCCTGGCATAACCTGTACCTACTAACCCTTTAAAGATACAAGCAGGTGCTATTCTGTTTTTCCACACTGAGAGGCAGGCTAACTTCAACAGCTAGGTAAACTGCAGTCTCTTAACTTTCAAAGGACTTTGGGCAACTGTACTGAACAAGTAACATACTGTTAGCACCATCACACCCTGTTCACCTCATCTTTAGTTCCCTGTTGTTAAGTCAGAGGCTCTCATGGGCTGCAGCTGGGCACTACTGAGCTAGGTGCAACCAAACACTTGTTATGAAGAAAACACCCCTTCCTTTTTTCTTCTATTCTGTAGGCTTTAGGCCTAAATATTTTTTTAATGGAGGTAACTTCTATGATGCTGTATCAAATACATTTCATAGACATTAGGGCTGGAAGGGACCTCAGAAGATCGAGTCCAGCCCCCTGCCCAGGGGCAGGAAGTCAGCTAGGGTCAAAGGGTCCCAGCAAGATAGGCGTTTAAATGTTTCTTAAGAGTCCAGAGCAGGTGCTTGCACCACCGCTGGAGGCAGTCTATTCCAGGTCTTGGGGGCTCGGGCAGTAAAGGCATTTTTCCTTTGGATTTATTTCTTGCTGGGGTTCCTTGATCCCAGCTGACTTCTTGCCTATGGCAGGGGGGCTGGTCCCCATGATCTCATGAGGTCCCTCCCAGCCCCTAATGTCTATGAAATCCATGAAATCTTATGTCCAGCCTAAAATAGTCTTGGAGGAGTTTGTGACCGTTTGACCTTGTCATCCCTCAGGGCGCTCTGGCGAATAGACGTTCCCCCAGATCCTGATGTACTTAATAGGCAGCCACTAGGTCACCCCTGAGTCTGCACTTTTCCAGGCTGAAGGGTCCCATAGCTCTCAGCCTCTCATCATAAGGCCTGTTCTCTTGTCCCCCAATTATACACGTGGCTCTCCTCTGGACTCTCTCAAGCTTTTCCACAGCCTTTTTAAATTGTGGAGCCCAGAATTGGATGCGGTACTCACTCCAGCTGCGGCCTCACCAAGGCCGAGTAGAGCGGGAGGGGATGACATCCTGGGATTTGCTTGAGAAGCATCTATGGATGCAAGCCAGAGGTTTTTTTGCTTTACCAGCTGCAACATTGCATTGGTGGATCGTATTCATGTGGTAGATTATGGTCCCCAAGTCCCTTTCGATCATGGTGCTAGCAAGCATAGCACTGCCGAGCCTAAAAGCATGATGCGGGTTTTTTCTCCTGAGGTAAGAGATCTTGCATTTTTCCATATTGAATGTCATCGGGTTTTTATCCGCCCATTTCCTAAGCCTGTCAAGGTCGGCCTGGATCACCAGCCTATTCTCAGGTGTGGACGCTTTACCCCAAAAGGTACAATTTAAGTAACTGACACCTTTTAGAACTAATTTTTAGAAAAATTAAAGCAAACAAGTATTGTGTAACAGACTTGGCCATTGTAAGGGCCTTTGATTGCCTTTTTTTTTTTTTTTTTTAAATAGCCTGGGCAAAACTATTTGCAGTACTTCATGTTCAAGTTGCCTAGTTAATCAACAGGATCTCTCTAACTAATCATTAAGTTATATCTAAAACAAGTTATTTGCTTCATATTTCAACAATACTGGCTTCTTTGGTAGTATGTGTTGAGAAGTCTTGTAGGTAAGTCAGCCAAAATGTTACAGCCTAAAGGGCCCTAAGACCTGATTAATTGTATGTTGGCAGCTTTCAGTTTTGCACAAGTAGTGATTGTACTAACTGTTATCTTCAAGGAAGAGGTGTAGAATGGTATTGAGATTTTGCATTACATTAATCATAAGGCCCTTGGGAGATATGCCAAACGAATGAGGCCAATGTCTTTGTATTGCTCTAAGAAGTAGTGAACAAGCATGAATCCATCCAGGAACATCATGCGTTTTAAAAGATATATTTGTGCAGACAGTTATAGGTGCCAGTAGAATAAAGCAAAGTTTGAGTTAAGCAAAATTGTCCAAAGAATCATGCTGTCAAGGGGTTCACAAAGTGATTTGTGGAAAAAGGCTGCTGCCTGTAGGCAAGACAGCAGGCATTTAACATGTGGCTTAAGTCTTTACACAAGCTAGTATAGCACAACGTGGTTTGCATAAAGATATAATTATCATAGCAACTTGAGCAATTCTGTCTACCTATCTAACTAGTCACTACAAATGCGTGGCAGGGAAACAGGGGGCTCTCCTTGATAACAATTTTAACTGAAAGAGCAAAATGATGTACATGTGTCTCGTTTGTCAAGTGTTGACCATGTTATTTTAAGATAACTGCTCCTCTGAAAAGACATACCTGAGTTCAAAATCTTTATGAACAATTACAGTGTGAAACCAAAGCACAGGAATACATTATACCACAAGCTTACTGTTAATACACAATCAGTAAATAGCAAGATGTTGAGAATGAAGAATCTCATTCTCAATCTTAGGAAAACTGCATTTTCTTAGGAAAACGCTGACTGCAAGAAACCCAAGAGATTCAAAGCATTCAGCCTAAAATTCACACAGATTTTTGTGATCCAGAAAACTGACAGCTTCTCAGATAAAAAGAGAAAATATGAGATAACTAGTACAGGAAGAAGTAATTACTAAATCACAACATAGTAAATTATACAGAACGGTTGCCTGCCAGACAGATTCTTGGATCTCTATTACTCGCTGACAAAAAAATGAATTTAGTTGAGAAACCAGTTTAAAAAAAATTCAGGCATTTTTTTTTTTTTTTAACTGTAGTTTAGCAGATAGGCTGCTCAAAAACTGACTGAAAGAAAACGGCTCTCTCCGCCAAGTCAGCAGGTATGCGGCCAGTCGAGATATCCCAGCATACATCGGGAAGTGAATGCTAATAATCAACTTGTGTGGGTGATCTCCTGTCCTTGTGCTGTTATCTGCCACATCCAGAGGATCTGCACAGCATATAATCTTCACGCTTTTGAAACTTGCATCTATTCTTGCATCTCTTCCTGCACTTGCTTTCTCAATTCTTGACCTCCACATCATTCCTGCAATACATTTATCAGTTTGTCATCTTTGTAACAATTATAAAAGTGCTCCAGTTAGTTTTCTGCACTCATTAATTGTTCCCCTTATCAGAGCACACGTCATAAAAGAAGAGCATATGCTAAAATCAGACATTCAGGTCCAGTACTGAAAAATACTATTTAATCCCAATTATAATGATACCAACAGGAAGTCATATTTTATCCTTCTTGGATACAAAGAGGGATTCCAATCTGACCCCACATTTTCAATTAGCTCTCAGAGTAAGGTCAAAATAGAAATGTT